CCACCACCACCACCACTCCCGCCACCGCCTTCCACATGAGTTTGACAGTAGCCGCAAGTAAAGGCGTCAGCGGAGTATTGGACCCTCCTGTGTCTCAGCATGTTTTTCAGCTCGACAAAACTCGGTTTGCCACTATTGTATGGTCGCTGTTGAGAGGCGTAGTAATGGCAGGAAGCATCACCATAAGGCTTGTATGATGTCGGATGTAGCTGAGCGAGGAGGCTATGGAGTGGTTGCTGTTGATGCTGCTGGTGTTGCTGTTGGCGAAGAAGCGACGAGGCCATATGGTCCATGGAAGCAAGGGCTGAGGGTGCGCCGTAGTATGGGTGCTGATCATAGGGTGGTGGAGGAGGTTGGTGGCCGGAAGAAGCCGGAGGAGGCGGTGGGGGAGGAGGAGGGTATCCAGAATAGGGCTTTCCTCGTGAGCTCGAGGAAGAGTATTCCACATCATTCGATGGCTTAAGCTTGATTGGCGAAATATAGGAGCTGGAATTAACGGAACTCAGGGAGGATTCCGTTTGCTGGGGCTCACTACCTACAAATGGCAAAATCAATTTAAATTTATTCTGCAGAGGACCAAATTGCTCTTGACTGAAAGCCTTTGCAGCGAAAGCGTAAATTCGTGCCCTGAATGTTATTCAAATGAGATACGCACAACACAATTTTGATAGCAAAAACGAGGTTTCAGGCAGATGAAACGGCGCATTGCCCACTTACTACTGGAGTAGACACTGCGCGGATGTGGCTCCTCAGGGGTGTTGGCGGAGGGCATATGGTAAGGGTCGGACTCGCTTCCATCTCCCGATGTCTGAGACGCATTCCTTTGATTCACAATCTGTTGGTTTGCCGCCGACATTCCCCGGCCCTTGTTCGTCCCTCCACTGCGGTAACTTGGGTAATTGCCTTTGCGATTCGTAAATATTCTGTGTCACAGACTTAATTAATAGCAACAAATCCTAGAAAACCATACTGTCATGATATAGCTGCCTTAACTTATTTTCTTCCCCGACACTAAGTGGATCGAGTAGTACACCTTCATCTGTAGCAATTCAAGCAAGATGGAGTAAAGTAAGACATCACTTCGACTGAAAATTTAATAAGTGCTTATCTGTTAAATACATATTTTAGTGCAACACCAATTTTTTTGCGCATTGAAAAGGACCGTAGTAAATATTATGCATCATTTGAACAACAACCCTAGTGATCATTCCCAACGTCGAACATCATCACTAAGAACATGTAGCTATGCTTAGACCTACTTCTACTACGCTTATTCCTCCCATTGCGACCCCCTCGCGGTCCCGTATTCGGAGCAAATCTGTTATATTCTGAAGTGGGTATGCTTATCCTCGAGGCAGAAGCCGAAATCGGGTTCCTCGGTGTGTACCCCGCATGTTGACTATGGTAGTGATACCGCAGGCCCGCAGTCGAACGATATCGGGAAGCGCAGACCTCACACACAAAAAAGGTTACCACTGTAGTCGGTTCTGAAGGCCCGCTACTGCCACTAGATGGAGGTGGTGTGCCCAGGGGACCGTGAACATTTCCTCCATTTCCACTACCTCCACTTCCCTGGTTTATATTTAGATCGGGCGGAACTGACGCTGAATTCGATGACTGCAGTGGCTGCGGCGGTGGTGGTGGCGGTGGAGGTGGTGGCTGTGGCAATGGTGGAGGTGGGTTTGATTGGATTGAGGGTGGTGGAGGTGGAGGTTGTTGTTGATGGTGATGCAAAGGTGTTGGAAGCGGTGACGAATGATGTTGCTGATAGGCCGGATTATTGTGTGACTGTTGAGTGGACATTGTTGGTCGTCCGGGTGGCAACGACTGCAGCGACGGTGGTGCTGGAGCCTGCTGCATGTCCGGTAACACTGAGCCTTAATATTGAAGACACCTCGATAGTTATTGCATTCATGACATAAAAATACGTGTCATAATTGTTGGAAACATACTATTGACATTGTCAGGACCGTTAACATGGGGATGTCTTTGAACAGCATTCCTCCATTCGAGATTACTTGAATCATGGATAGCCTCAGGGGGCATTCTCTTATCCATACCACTACATATAATGGACTGTTGCGGATGACACTGTGGCATCATCATTATCGACGGCGTCGCAGTCGTTTGCAGCGGCACAGGTGAGGGAGTTGGTGGGGAAACTGGAGCGGGCGGGTGGTGATGATGGTGCTGACAACTGATCGGCGTCTCTGGTCTGGGGACAGGAGTTGTTTCGAGGAGCTCCGAGGTGTCGAAAAAACTTGGGTGGGGATGAGAAAGCTTGGTTGAGGGAGCATCGCCGAGACCACTTGTAGAAAGATTTGCATTGCTCCGGTAGATGGCTTCGTCAGGTGGTGTATAGGCGTCTGGAAATAGGGAGGGAAACTTCGAGAGGTACTTCAATAGGTTTTCTTTAAGAAGGGACGAAGTTTCGGCAAGTGCAAAGTTTCCTATTGGCTATAAATGTATGATGTACTTATAATCTTAAAATAACTTCTGCTAGACCCGAATACTGTCATGTTAGCACTAATGAACACTGTAGGAGATGCGCACGGTCCTCACACATGGCGTGTTTAATAACTAAATGCCACGACCGTTAACCTTATTGATTTGTTAACCATCAAGTTAAATGTCTTCAATGCATATACAAAGTGATGAAGAATTTCTATCCGCAACCTAAGGAGCGATGTGCACTATTTCTCAGGGCGTTGAGTTCACTAAACAATTTCAAGTGCAGTTTAATTCACGGATCAGCTTAACAAGATATACCCGTTGTAGAAAGCTCCAAATTTTAAGGACCCTATTAACATCGCCAATGTCATTTGGCAGGAACATTTTAAAATCCCCCATAACTGTTGCGATTCTCTACTACCGTACGACACCAGAGTATGCGGCAAGATCTGTGGGTCTGCACCGCGACATTTAGTGCAGCAAATTTAAGAGCAAATTAGATCAAACGCAATTTGAGTGTGCGAGAAAGCCTATGGAAGAAAGAGAAATGGGATCTAAAAGAAAATTTTTTCAGCCGCTTGAAAGCATTTCAAGAGTCATCATCGTTATCAACTATATAATATTTTTATATCCCGTCGATAATGCTTGCAATGGGATTCACATGTTTATGAGTGAAAATGATGCAAAGGAAGTTAACTTAAGACAGACTTACAACGATCGTGATTGTCTTTATCCACTATTCGCAATAAGTGAGGTCGACCTTGAGCCTCGTAGTTTCCATTAATAATGTAGGATTTTAAAACGATTAACACGAATCAAAATGGATAACTTAAAAAAATTAGTTACCAGGTCTCTCAGCCAAAACTTGTGGGCAGTAACGTCTCAAAGTATTTCAGCATAAACTGTGGCCGCCAGGCAATGTACAGTGCAAAAAAAACGACTGACTTCGGGAACTTTTAGAAAACTAAATCTTAGAGAAGTGTTAGAACCACCTTAATGCGTTAACCGACTTCAGCACCTAAAACATTTCTTGGTAGAGGTGTGATGTGGTTGCATAGTCCAGGGGCGTTGGATGGTTGCATTAAACCATCCCACCCATGCCTGTCAGCTTGACGAGTGACCGAGCCTGTGTGTGTGGTCTCGTGTTACTCTGATACGCAAAACCTCTTCCTGGTTCACCAATTCTGGACAGCGCGTGCCCAAATAAATTGTTCGGCTTTGACAAAGCAGCTTTATAAAGTTTGGCAGCTTCAAGATTTCATTCAGGTTGGTGGTATCGCCCTCTCACCAAAGCGTTCATGCGTTATCGATGGCAGTGTACTAATATTGTCCATTTACGAGATACATTTCTCTTCTTTACTTTAAAATGACGTGAAGCTAGACGATGCTTTGCCACCAGATCTGTCACTTAGGGAAGAGATCAAATGCTGCTTCATTATATTGCCATCAGTAAACGTTGTTTCGCCTAATAAGTCAAGAGCAGTGCATCCCTAGTGCAGGAGAATCATGCCCATCTAGTACAACTTGCAATGGCGTGAGTCTGGTGAATTTTTGGCAAAGTAGTCCGCATAGTTTATGAAACCTATTTTTACGGTAAAATTGTAGGACTTGGATAGTCGAGGCAACGCCCAAACATTGCAACCTGCAACTTTTCTCCCGACCACATATTACTGGGCTGTCTTACTGTTAAAAGGGTGTTCTGATGACCAGCAAGCCGATATTGTTGTCCCACTATATGTTCTTTGCCTAATTTCTTCATGCACTGCTAATCTTGTGCTAACTATCGCGAAGTGAATGCTTTAAAAATGAGAATAGTCTCTGTCTCACGGTAGTGGAAAAATGAGTACGCCGCACTACGATCATCATAGTGTCCCACTCTGTTTATAAGTGCACGCCTCACTAGGTGTGAGCTGTGGTAAGCGAACCCATCCCCTAGTTGAGGCTAAGGCCTAAGTACTGCTAGGTGAGTTATATTGCCAGTATTAGAGTAGGTGGCTTTAGCCTCCATCGTCTTTGACGTTGTAATGAGCATAGCTATTATACGTTATAGACTTAAGAATGAACTTCGTCTGGTAGATAAATGCATGCTCTATAGGTATCAGAGGCTACAAATGATACTACTATGACTGTATCGACTAATCCCTAAATTCAGCTGAACATTTGGAAAGCAATCCTTTTCCTATCAGCATCCTATTAATACTCGCCTTG